AATATTAATTGTAAAAATATATTTTGATATTATATATAAAAATATAGATTGCGTAGAAAATTAGATAGAATTATTTCATTATTTTATTATGAAAATAGTTTGTTAGATTGTGTATTGTATTAAATTTTGAGATTAGTAATTTATAATAAATAAATAATAAAAATTATATATTTAGATATTGTTAATGTTTTGTATTGAATAGTTTTATTATTTAGTTGTAAGTTTTATTGTTTAGTTGTAAGTTTTATTATTTAGTTGCAATTATAATATAAACTTTTATGGTATAAGAAAAATGTAGATAAAATTCCATTTTGGTTAAAGGTTAAAACTCCATTTTGGTCCCTGAACTATTGTATGGACTCCCGATTTGGTCCCTAAACTAAAAAAATCCCTGATTTGGTCTCTACTGTTTACCATTTTAACCCTGATTTGGTCCTTCCGTTAAATATTTGCCTACGTGTCTTGTTACTTGACGGGGAAAAGGATGACATGTCAAATATTAATACACGTGGAAAACAATAAGACCAAAAAAAGTGATGACATGGAAAAAATAATAACATTAAAAAATATTATGAAAAATAAACCTTAAAAAAATTTTTTTTTTCCTTCTTTTTCCTTCTCTTTCCTTTTCTCTTTCTCCTTCCCCTTCCCCTTCCCCTTCTCTGTCCCCCTTCGAACCCAGGCGTGGCCTGGGTTCGACTTCGGTGGTGCTTGGGTTCGACTTCAGCATAACCCAGGCACGGCCTGGGTTCGACTTCGGCGGAACCCAGGTGCGGCCTGGGTTCAACTTCAGCGAAACCCAGGCGTAGCCTAGGTTCGACTTCGCGCACCTGGGTTCGACTTCGACGAAACCCAGCACGCCTGGGTTCGATGCCCAGCATGCCTGGGTTCCACTGAACCCAGCATGCCTAGGTTCGATGAAACCCAGGCGCTGGGTTCCTTAAGACCCAGCTGTGGGTTCCAAAAAAAAAAAGAATTTCTGTTTTCTTTGTTTGGGTTCTGTTGTTTGATGATATGAGAAATTGATTGATGAAGATGAAGAAGGCAAGGCAGCCGTTGGTTTTTGCAGGTGTATAAAGATGAAGAAGGCATAGGTTCTGGGTTTGATTTCGAACCCAGCAAGCAATTGAACCCAGCATCGAACCTAGTAGCCGCTGGGTTCCTGCAGGTGCTGGGTTCGAAATCGAACCCAGCAGGCACTGTGTTCAAGCTGGGTTCCTGTAGGTGCTGGGTTCGAAGGTGCTGGGTTTGATTTCGAACCCAGCAGGCACTGGGTTCCGTTTTGAACCCAGCAACCGTTGGATCCATGGATCTGTTGAGTTCCATTTGTTTATCAATCTGTTGTTTGTTGGGTTCTGTTTCAAACTCAACAGTTGTTGGGTCCATGGATTTGTTGAGTTCGATATATTTATGGATTTGTGGATTTGTTATATGTTGTGTTATCCTCGTAGTCTTGCAGGTGCTGAATTTGATTTCAAACCTAGCAAGCGTTAGGTTTTGTTTCCAACCCAATTGCAGTTGGATCGAAGGATCTATTGATTTCTATATGTTGGTTTGTTGTGATTCTCGGATTTAATATTAGGAAATGTTAGGGTTTGCAGAAGGTGAAAGGAAAGGGAGAGGAAGAAGAAAGGGGACAAAGAAAAACAAAGAAAGAAAAAAAAAAATTTTTTTAAGGTAATTTCTTGCCATTTCATTTTTTTGCCACGCTGTACATCCTAGGTGTCAAAATGTTTTAACATGTCATCATTTTCCTCGTTAAGTAACAAGACACGTAGGCAAATATTTAACGGAAGGACCAAATCGGGGTTAAAATGGTAAACAGTAGGGACCAAATCAAGGATTTTTTTAGTTTATGGATCAAATCAGGGGTCCGTACAATAGTTCAGGGACCAAAATGGGGGTTTAACCTAAAAGTTAACATATTTTTAATGAATAATTAATGATTTATGATTTATAATTTATTTTATATTGATTTTAATATTTTATCTTCTTTTTTTTTTTCTTTACAGCAACAAGCAAACCCTGAGGGTCGTCCACCAACATATCCTGAGGTCTACACCAGTAGAAGGCAGCACAAAGGAAAAGGAAAAGACCAACTACCTGTATATTGTAATGATGAGGCTCAAGAAATTGGAGTAAGTATTTAACTTAACAATTTTATTTTAAATTGTGTCATGAATTAATTGAAATTATTTTAGTTATAATATTTAAACTATTGTACATTATAGTTATTGGTAAAAAGTTAGAACTCCATCCTTTTAAGGGAGAGTAAATTGAATTTAGGTGCTTAAAGTGATATTTTTAATTTCACTTTGATTTTCAATACAATTAATTATTTATTTTGTCTTATATTATTTCAGGAAAAATTAACAGCTGAATATGCTACTAGACAAGAAGAAGAAGGATTTGACCCTACAATACCTCATGGTGAGATATTACTTAGGGCAACTGGTGGGGTCAAGAAAGGATGGCTGAAAGGTTTGGATATTCACACACATCCACAGGATATAAGTGTGAGTACATCTAGACGAGAATCATTCAGACCACCTATTATAAGACAGTCTAATAGGGTTATCGAATTACGGTAGACTATTGAATCATTGAAGGCAGATAATCATAGCCTTCGACAGACACAAATGGCCCTTTTAGCAGATAATGATAGCCTACGGCAGCAACAGTTGACCCTTGTAACACAGATGCAGCAACTCTACCAGTATTTAAGGATGACCTTAGCGGATACCAGTGGGACAGTCACCCCTAGGACACCTCGAGATATTTAGATTTTTCATATTTTAATTAAATATTTGTATTGACTTTATATTTGTAATAGATATTGGAGACATATATTTATACTAAATTTAAAAAAATTTCTAGCATTTTATATGATAAACATCATAAATTATATGAAAATAATTCAATATCATAAAATTATGTAAGGAATATCGAATTAAATTATTTTTTATTACTTTTATTTTTTTTCTTCAAATATATTTTCGGACCGATACCAGTCCGTATATACTTATACGGAC